AAAAAGAGGGTCGTTAAGGTATAAAAAAGTTTACACTATCTTTTTTTTGTGAGACATATTTTGTAGGATAAAATCTTGAAACCAAAGGATTAAAACAGATAATACCTCACAAAAATATAAATCATGATAGATAAACTGATCTGAGACGTCGGATGAATAGATATCCGGATCTTAAAGTTGTGAGGGTCAGAATTTAAGTCTCAACTCGTAACACTTGAATAAAAATAAAATAAATTTAAAATATTTATTGAATATAAATATAAAAATAAAAATAATATAAAAAAAATAAAGATAAAAAATATTTCACCAATCTCGTACGTTATCTATTAACATCCTTACATAATAGAGAGATTCATATATTCCAACCTAATCTTTGTCATGCCATTGACTCCTTTTGTCAGAGATATTTATTTTATATACTCATATTGATTGTTTGGTCCAACACGCAAGAAAGTGAAAACGAAATCAAATATTTTTTTATTTTTTATAGATAAAAAATTTTTATTAATTATAAAAAATTACAATCAAATCAAACATTCAACACTCAAACAATCAAATTCAGTTACAACCAATCCCAATCTCATAAATAAACAAACAATCCGAAACACTTACCAAAACCGTATCAATCAAAACCCAAATCTATGACACCCATGGGCACTCTCCTTTACGTCAATGAGATGTCTATACACCCAATTTTGTAAATTCTACAACTCTGTATTTTTCTATCATACCTTAGTCAACTAAGAATTCCTTACAAGCCCACTAACTTATCCGACAAACAGACTTGACTGCCAAACAATATCATTAACAATAAAAAAAATATATGTCAAAATTATTTCATTAAATTTTTTAAAATTTGAGTCAATATCTTAAAACCGACAACGAAATTTCCATTGTATGTTGCTCCTCCTTCTTGTTGAACTATCTAAATTTCCTGGAACCAAAGTCTTTATGGTCGACAAAGAAAAATTCCTTCTTACCAATGTCTAATATATCATGCTTAGTTCAACGGATGCCGAATAAAAAAGTGTTTGTCACGATTCATGCAGTAGGTTTTTTCCTTATGATTTTGGTGGAATTGTATGTAAGCTTATCTCTACACCTCAACCAACTTTATTCGAAAGGGTTTTTCACGATTTATCCAAAAAGAAGTTCCATATAATAGAATAATTATATGTTTGCATGCAGACATGAGCATGATAAATAAATTTTATCATAAGTCTCAAATCAATTTCTTCGAAATTCAACTGAATTTCATCTAAAGAAAAATCTATGAATAATCAACTTTCCAGATTTATTAACCTATTCCAAAGTCATGATCAGAAATATTAATTTGAATCCATAACAAGGCTAATTTTCTCTCTTTTTGAAATGGACGTCCAAATGTCTATGTAATCCCTATGACGTTGGAATAATGACATAAGCACTTGAAGAGAAAGTGGTTAGGATGTATTTAATATATAAAATATAAAAAGATAAGATAAAATGATATTATGAATAAGATTAGATTAAATAATATCATTTTATTTTGTATTTGATATGTATATAAATTAAAATAAAATAATATATTTATTGATCAAAAGTATCTTTTTTAAAGTTATATAATTTTTAAAATCTAATAGAACATATAAATTTAATTTTATAAATTAAAATAATCTTCTTCTTTTTTAAAGGATTGAATTATCTTATACACAACAAATAATTAATTTTCTTTATAATTTTATTTTTTTCTTTAGCTTCAAAATAAATATAATATAAAATAATTATTATTTTATCATATCTATCATCTATACATCAAATATGATTTTAGTATATTAGTTGACTTTCGGTCATGCATGAAATTTCCAATGACTTCTCTAAAACCCAAAACAATCAACTTGTTCTCTCTTCATTCCCCCACTCCTCGTTGTCCTCGTACAGAGTATCTGTGGAAAAACGCTACAAAACCTTAATTAACTTATAAAAAGTGAACTTTTTCCCTTTTTTTAATAACAAATTCCCCTTTTTTATTGTCTTGTTATCATATATTTTCTATCTTAATTCATTAATTCATTATTGTTTCGTTTGGTTGATACTTTTGTAATTTATTTTTTATTTTTTCAATAGAAAGTTAAAAGTAAAAAGATAAAAAAAATTTGAAAATAAGAGACAAATAACCAAAAAAAAAAAAAATGGACAAGGCCTCGTTTAGTTGGTAAAGCAAGGAATTCTCTCTTCTTGTCAATTTAGATTCTAATTTTTTGAAAAATATTTAGAGAGTAAAATTTTGAATATATCATATCAATAGAGATTATATCATTAAAATTATTTGGTTGTAAAAAATATAACTACCAACCAAACAAAACCCATATCCTTACAAAAGACTAAAAATCAAAACACTACGTAAAATATACTAAAATAATAAGTTGATTCAATTGATAAGGTGATCCATCTCTCAACATAAATAATTCTGAGTTTTAATTTTTTTTTATAATGGGTACTCTTAAATTTTGTTTGAGTTTAATTTTCTCTCAATATCGAATTGATGTGTTCAAAATTTTATTTTTCAAACAGCTTCTCAGTTACCAACTAAACTAACCTTTGTGGGTGTCCCATGTAGCTTAATGCTACAAAAAAAATAATTATTTATCCAAATTTTATACCAAAATAAAATTCATTAAATAGTGTCTATATATATAATAATTTATTATCTAGGCCCACAATGACTTGAGTAGGTGTTTGTGACGCATTGATTGAGGCGTTGCGTGCACAGCAGGTTTTTCTTTGGAGTAACTTACACATTATGTTTACTATAAATAATTCGTTGACGAAGATATATAAATGTTTGTCATGCAGTGAGGTACCATGCATGTTCTCCATCTTTTTCCCTTTGATAGGGGAAGGAAAATGAAAGAAATGAAATGTTATCGTGGAAGAGATTAAAATGAGCTTAAAACAAGGAATTAAAATTAATATAACTATAAAAAGAGTTGAAGGTAGCAGCTTACAAATATTATATAATAGTGCCGTCAAAGTTGATTCGAATGTGAAATATTAGCTCAATTGTTTAAATTTTACTTGATTAAAAAATTAATAATTCAAATAAAAATTTAAACTAATTTAAACTCAAAATTAATTTTAACAAAATAATTCGAATATAAAATTATCCAAAACTAAAATGACAAAAAAAAAAAAAGTCATGGACCGTTTAGCTTTATCTTAGATCTTAAACCTTTGAAAAATAAGGGGCCTATCAAGCAATAGGCATAGTAGTTGCAACCTATATCTTTAATTATAACCATAATTAAAAAGTAAATTTTGGTTAGAAATTGTTTGGTGTTCACGATATTGCACAAGTATCATATTTTGTCCATATTAGATTTAGTCTCCAAATATATATATATATATATATATATATATATAGTTTTCGTTTGTTTAGTTGAAAATGACTTTTCAAAAATTATTTTTATATTTCAAGTATTTGTTTGACAAAAAAATTAATTGATCAATAAAAAATAATTTATTGATCAATAAAAAATAATGCAATTTTTTGAAAATTGACTTATCCTTTTTTAAAAGAGAAATAATTTTTTAAAAAAGAGTTATTTATAAGTAAAATTATTTATCGATGTGTTTGAACATAATTTTAACTCAAGCTAAGCTTTGTATATGATTTTTTAAACATAAATTTAATTTGATCTGATCTAAAATATTATTATATTAATAAATAATATTTTTATTTGATTTTACTTAAAAAATTAAAATATTAATATTAACAGATTTTAATATTTTAATATTAAATATTTTTATAATAATACTCAAATAAGATTTTGAATATAATATTTTAAGTTCGAATTTGATTTGATTGAACTTAAAATATTATTATATTAATAAAAATATTTTATTTAATTTTAATTAAATTATTAAATTATTAGCATTAAAAATCTTTTGATATTTCAATTTTAAATATTTTTATTTTGTATATTATTTAACATAAATTTTTTAATATTTCAATAATAAATAGTATTATTTATTATTTTAATAATAAATAACAACATATATAATAATATTTTTATTATTTTAATCATTAATGTTAAATAATATAATATTATTATTTTCTTAGTATGAATATTTTTAATATTTTTTTATTTTTTAGTTTAAAATTTAAAATTTTATTTATTATTGTATTTATATTACTATTTTAATAATAAATATAAATAAAAAAGATTTTTGTTATGATTTAATAATAGATACTTTCAATATAAAATATAAATATTTTAATAATATATATTACTGTTTTAATATTAATAAAATAATATTTTAAGAATACTAATATTATTTTAAATATTTTAAAATATTAATATAAAGAATAATAAATAGTTTTATTTAAGTATTTTATATTAATATAATACTTTAATATTAAATATTATTATTAAAATATAATTATTCTTGAACATTAATAATTTCAATAATAAATAATTTCAATATACTTTAATAATAAATAATTTTTAATATTTAATAGTTATATTAATATTATTTTTTTAAAAAATAATTTTTTCAGAAAATAATCAAATAAAAAAAAATATTTGTTATTAACTCATCAATAAAAAATTTTATTTTTTCAAAAAATATAAATATTTTTCGAAAATTATTTTTTAAAAGTAAATTTCTACGAAACAAAGAGAACCACGTGTTCTTCATCGAAATTTCCATGCATGAAATTATATACAAGATTCTACCCATTTTCCACATTTTTTAGTCACGATAAGCAGGAAAGTGCTATGAAGTTGCACGTATCCAGGTAAAAAGAAATATGGAATATAATTAATATATGGTTAACGTCAATGGAAGGAAATTTGGGATGATAATGGCATTGTTTTTCCCGGTCTTTTCCCCAGTCTTTTCCCCAATGTTACCTATATCCAAGCAAAATTAAACTCTCTGAATATCTATATATTAGGGCAGTATGTCATCGATACTCCAACTCCATTCCTCTCTCTGTATCTCTGCCAACAGTAATCATGGATGCACACATGGATGCTCAGTTGACAACAATTTGCAGTTCTTCTTCGGCTTTTCATATCGAAATGGAGAACACAGTGATGAAACAGGTTTGGTCCCATGGTTGTTACTCTTTGATCAGTAGAGAGTCAAGAACCAAGATTGGTATCCCTTCACCACCTTCGGTTTCGGTCAATGGTAGTACTACCAAAAGGAAAATAGAGAAATCATCATCAACGGAGCTGATTCCGCTGTGTGGAATCATCGTATCTCTTGTAATTCTTAACTTGGTAATTATACTTCAGGATTTCTATTCCAGTTTTCATTGCGTAGTCAGTATCTTCAAATCATTCCTACGAATCCTTTCTTGTATTTCGAATACTTGTGCTGCAACAACAACTGCTAAACGTCGATCAGTTGAAATTAAGCCACCAAGAAATCAAACAGAAACCGATGATCGAAATCTCCCTTTATTAGAAGTGAAAAAGGTGATCCAAGGAGCTTTGTGGGACTTAGAAAGCTACAGAACTGAGAAGAGTCTTGGAGCAGATAAAATTGGTGGGCTGTTCGAGGAAGAGGAACCAAGTCTAGAGGAAGTTAAAGAAGCTTTTGATGTATTCGATGAGAACAAGGATGGGTTCATAGATGCAAAGGAATTAGGGAATGTCATGTTTTCGTTAGGTTTCATGCAAGCTTCGGAAGATGAATGCAAAAGAATGATCAAAGGCTTTGATGATAACTTTGATGGACGGATTGATTTAACTGAATTTATCAAAGTTATGGAGAGAAGCTTATTCTGAACTAACATTCATTCCATCTCTATCTATCCTTATCAAAATTTTCTTTAAATTACCTATTGTTATGCGGAATGGTGTTAGAGTATTAAACTTTTAAGTTTAGCTACAAAAATTAGATCATTGATAACTTTGAATGAAAAAATAAAATTATCTTTAAGTTTGAATAATTGGCCATTCTATCTCTTTTTTGCTCTCTTTTTCTTTTCTTTTTGAAAATTAAAGACATTTTATTTATATTCTATCATCAATAAAATGATGATTAAATAGTGTTTTAATTGTTAGCTTCACCATTCTAGTGAATAAATTACTTTATTGGATACTCAATTATCCAAGATGACTAAGTAGAATTATTTTTCTAAATAAATATAAAAAATTATTCTATAAACAAATTTGAAGCCAAAAACACTACCATTTAAAATTTGAGTAATGGAGTCGGATTTTAGATTATTTTTTAAGCTTAATTTTTATTTTTATTTCATTTGTTAATTACTAGTATTTTTAAGGACCATTATTATTATTCATGAAGTGGACATTCCGATTCTAATAATTACAGCTCTTTTTTCTTGTCATTACTCATTACCCCCTTTTATTTTTTGAAGGGGGGAATTGGATTTTGGTATCAAAATGGTTGAACTAAATGAAAAATGAAAGCTGCATAAGTATAATCATATATTTCATTGCCTGCAAACTGGAATTTTACCAATTAACGCCGGTCTCAACCATCAGCCATGGCGATGAACGGTATAAATTGAAATGCTTCTATTTGAAAATGGACAATAACAACACTCGAGGGAATCTTATTTCACAATCATTATTTCGATTTCTGCATCTTTCTGATCTATGTTTGAGGAGATTAACATGTAATTAATTTCATCTGCACCATTATTTTTAATCTCATCAAAATTAAATCCAAATGTATTCAAGTGCTACTGAACGGCTCAGTGATTCATGGATATCGTCTAAAAGCACCCATTAACAAAACCATTACTTTGTTCTCGATGAAAAATCCTGCCTGCATTCTGCTTACCCTATGGATATCTTCTGCTTAGATGTAACCCTGACTGCCATATGTCATGCAACCATTGGCTGTAAAAGACTCCGACTGGATCTTCCTATGTAAGCCAAGACGGGTCCAAAATGAACTTTCCTCAACCAACAGCAACAAAGAAAGAGATTTGTGGATATGGCACCTAGATAAAGGGATGAGCATTAATTCATTGGATCCACAAAAACCAACCATCAGCTTCCAACGTTTAATGACAACCACATGAATACCCATACAAAGATCAGCCATGCACTAAAACATTTACATTTCCTTGGCCTATACACTGCTACTACTGCCCCTGTTGCTTCCCTTTACTCCAGACCCAATTTTCAGCGGGAAATCGTGGCTACCGTCACAACACAAGCCTTAGCTTCCAGAAATTTAGGCTTAAAGCAATAAACACAATAACGCAAAAGTAATATATAGTAATAAACTCATAATAATAAACAATAATCAATAATCAACAACAACAACAACAAAAATAAAATATACCAATATTTACATGAAAAATCCTCTAGTGTAAAGGAAAAAAACTATAGAGCACCACAAAAAAAACTTCACTATCAAATAATGGATATACAATATTTTTCTCTAGCTAAGACTAAAAGTAATCAACAATTAAAGAGACAATTGAAGAAATTTTACCAAATAGGTGACTCAACAAATACATACTAGATTTATTCCTAGAGAGCTTCAAACTCAATTTTCATCGTTAGAATGTAGAACTTTGAATTATAAATCTACTGACAAAATTTCAGCTCAATCGAACCACAAACTGACTTCCATTCAATCATCCCTTCTCCCTTTTCTTTCTATTTTCTTAGCTTCTTTTCTTGGTTTGCGACTCCACCTTTTTTTCACCTTAAAATAGCGCCCACCTCTTTTTATTAAATAGCTAGAGTCTATATAAAAAGAAAAACCAAGGCCTATGACATTTGATTGGTCTAAACCCAATTACATGGGGCTGGACCCCACTTTACTAATAATCTCTCCCCTAGTCTCATCAGGAGAAGATTTATTACCATAGCAGTTTTATTTAAAATTTACTTTGGCCAAAGAATCCATTTCGGCCAAGTTACTGCAGAACTCAAGCTTCTCTTTGAAAAGTGTCTCAGCCAATATAGCTACTATATTTTTATCAATATGGACTTTCTTCAATAGCATCTACTGCTTCTCGATCACCAAACATAACCAATGATATCTAACATCAATGTGCTTCGTTCTAGCATGGTACATGGTATTCTTGCTCAAATCTAAAGCACTATAGCTATTATAAAATACCACATACTCTTTCTGATTTAACACTAATTCAAAAAAAAAAAAAGTTTCATCCAAAGTATTTCTTTACCTACTTCAGTTGCTACAATATACTCAACATCTGTAGTTGACAAAGCATCACACTTCTGTAATTTAGATTGTCAAGACACAACTCCCCTTATAAAAATGAACATATACCCTGAAGTAGATTTTCTACCATCAAGATCACCTATCATGTCAGTATCAATAAACTCTTCTAGAATTGGTTGTGAAACTCTATAACTCAAGCACATTTTTGAAGTGCCACTCAAATATCTGAAAATCCATTTTATTGCTTCCCAGTGAACCTTTCTTGAATTAAAAAGAAATCTGCTTACTATACCAATTGTATAAGCAATGTCAAACCGTGTACAAATCATAAGATACATTAAAGAATCATCTATAGAAGAATAACGAATATTAGACATAGCTAGTTACTCTTTCTTAGTCACTGAATAAGATTTTTTACTCAGATGAAATTGGTTGGCAAGTAAACTACTAATCGATTTAGTATGTTGCATGTTGAACTTACTAAGCACATATTCAACATATTTTTTTTGTAATAACCATAATTTTCTAGCTTTAATATCTCGGATAATGTCCATACCGAGAATTTAAATTACTGGACCTAAATCTTTCATGTCAAAAGACTTAGACAATTGTTCTTTCAACTTGCGAACCATACCAACATCTTGTCTCACAATCAACATATCATTAATATATAATAAGAGAATAATAAAGTTACCATCAAAAAATTTTCTAAGATATGCATAAGGATCTGCTACCATTCTTTTATAATTTTGACTCATCATAAAAGAATCAAACTTTTTATACTATTGTCATGAAGCTTGTTTCAAGCCATACAAGTTTTTCTTCAGTTGATAAACTAAATGCTCTTTTTCTTTCACTTCAAAACCCTCAAGCTAATTCATATAAATGTTCTCCTGTAAGTCATCATACAAGAATGTAATCTTTACATCAAGTTACTCAAGCTCAAAATTCAAACTAATAGTTAATCTCAGTACCACTTAAATGAAACTCATCTTCATAATTAGAGAGAAAATTTCATCAAAAGCAATGCCTGGTTTCTGAGAAAACTTTTTTACCACCAATTGAGCTTTGTACCTCACTAGCGTGTCACCATCTTTTTTCAACTTGAACACCCATTTATTTTTCAATGGCCTCATCTCTTTCGAAAGTTTAACAAGATTATATGTACTTTTTTTTGTAATGACTTTATCTTTCTTTCATTGCTTTTAACCAATATTCTTTATTTGGAGTAGCTTGCACATCTTTGAAGCTCTCTAATTTTTTCTCACTGGTAACTAAAATAAAATATGAACTTGGATACCTGGTAGATGGCCTGTGCTCTCTAGTAGATCTTCTAGGCTGAGACTTTACACCACCTAATGCCAAAGGTAGCTCTCTATGCTAAACACTCTTTGGTGGAAAAGATTGCTCACCCTACTCAACATTCTCAGGTAAAAAAGATTGCTCTTTCTACTCAAAGCTGATTACATTTTGCTCATCACTAACTATGGCTGGCTCATTTATATCCTTAAGTTCTGTTTGTTGTTCATTTTCATCATTTGTGGCTCCTTTTTATGAAATCCTTTGTCGGTGTTGAAACATCACACTTAACAGTAACTTGTGTAGCCTTTTTATTTTTCTCGAGTTCTGCTATGATTTTTTTCATGAAAGATCATATCTCTGTTTTTGACTGTCTTTTTCTTCATTGGATCCCATACCTTATAGTCAAATTCCTCATCACTATATCCTACAAACACACACTGTGTGACTTTACTAACAAGCTTTAATCTTTACTCTTTTAGCACATGTATGAATGCTTTACATCTGAAAACTTTCAAGTAAGAGTATTAAGTATCTTTTTTTGGTCACACTCTTTCTAGAATATCAAAATCCAAAGGAACTAATGGTGATTTGTTAAGCAAATAGTAAGCTATGTTGACTATTTCACTTCAGAATAGCTTTAGTAATTTTGTCATCCTCAACATACGTCTGACTTTTTTCACAATGGTGCGATTCATCCTTCCAGCTATACCATTATGCTGTTGTGTTTCAAGTTCTATCATTTCATGCATGATCTCATGCTTTGAACAATATTCTTCAAAATCTTTGGATGTGTATTCCCTACCATTAACAGTCTGAATACACCTTAAGGGTAACCCTATCAACCTTTCCACCATGGCATAAAATTTTTGAAAATATTGTAATACTTGATTTTTATTTTTCAACATAGACACTCAAGTTTTACGTGAAACATCATTAATAAAAGTAACAAAATATCTACTATCACCTAATGACTCAACCTTAATAGGACTGCATATGTTAGAATAAATCAATTACAATATATTTTCTTTTCTCTAAGAATTCTTAAGAAAAAAAACTCTAAGATTCTTACCAAACAAATAATGATCAGATAAATCGAGAGATGTACCTTTAATCAAAGGAATGAAAGACTGTCTTGCCAAAACTTGTAACACTTTCTTGCTCATATATGCCATCCTCTTGTGTCATAAGTTTGTCAAAGCATCATTTTCAATGGCATTTATCTTATTGCTGCTCAATTGCATCCATGTCTTATATATTGTGTAGTATAGTTTTTCTCTTGCAATTACTATAGATCCTTTGAGAAGCTTCC